CAGCTTAATAGATGAGCGGTGATTTCCATCATTATTAAGATAAATTCACTATAGAAATAAAACAACGTGATAATGCTACATATATAAATTAGGATATAATGCATAGACAAATGTATATACATGTGCATAACCATTCTGTTCCCAGCTTTGTTTTATTTGCTTTATGTTTTTAACAATATAATGACATACCATCTAAGAAAGCACATGAAATGACTAAGGTAAGTATTTTTCTATGTAGAATAAGGCCTAACATATGGGCCTGCTTCGTTCATCTGATATTCGCTATGTACTATTACATAAACCGGAGTCATTATTAGGGCTCTATAACCATACAATTATATAGAACAAATTTAAATAACATTGTTATGTATAAATGTCACAATGTATAATTATTTGTCACAATATGTGTAGATAGTGCTTGAAAGCTCGGTTACTAGAATGACCTGTATGTTTCCGGAAGTTTCTAGAGACACGTGTAAACAAGCTAGGTATCTGATAGTTTAGAATCATCTAGAAAAGACTTTTTAGAAACCTTTAGTGTATATAAACATGATGGAACTGAGCATGAGCAGCCTTTTTTGAAGCATTAACGCCTTGAGTGAGCTTACTTTGAGACATCAATCTGTGAAGTGTGGACTTGTACAGTGATTTAGTGATAGTGCCTTGTAGACTTGCACTTGTATATACCCAATGAGGAAACCATTCTTCGGTTACCCGGTTTTCTGGACAATCTATTGTGAATTATTCTGGAATTGGGAGGATTTCCACGGAAAGATAAGTTCTGACTTTTGATTAATTAGTAGTTAGCTCTGTACATCATCGCAATATTGGTAATTCTACTGCATAAAAAAATATTTGTTGTTATTAAATTGATGAATTTTAACCTAGCTGTTGGGTTTTATTTGCTGTACGTTAATTCAGTAGCGTAACAACATTACCTCTGAATTACTTCATTTCGACAGTTTTTAATCTAATTTAATGCAGAATGGACGATTGGCTAAACCTCACATGGCCTCTCTCTTTTGTATGTACTTACGTTTCTGGACATTTCAAACAATTATTGAAATATTATGGTTATAGAACTTGGCGAAATGACAATACATGTTCATTTTGAAAACTAAAGAAATGAACACACGTTTTCAATTCTAGATCGTCCTACGTATCCACTCACAGTGATCGGAAACGCTGACCCTCTATATGATGGTGATGGTATTGATCTACGATGTAGTATAAGGGGAGGTAACCCACTTGCTAGTCTGTCATGGATGTGTCCAGGCCAAAATGTTATATCTTCGCAAAGCGACACATCGGACACTGCCATCTCTGTACTGAAAATCCCTCTGACACCATTCTATAATGACGCCAACTGTACATGTACAGCTACTCATTTCACCTGGACCTTCCCAAGATCTCACACCGAGGTCTTCAACGTCTACTGTAAGTCTACTGTGGTAGTTATTGTGTTTCTATAACTGTTGATCACCTCACACCGAAGTCTTCAACGTTTACTGTAAGTCAACTGTGATAGTAATTGTGTTTTTATAGCTGTTGATCACGTCACACCGAGGTCTTCAACGTCTACTGTAAGTCTACTGTGATAGTTATTGTGTTTATATAACTGTTGATCACCTCACACCGAGGTCGTCAACGTCTACTATAAGTCTACTGTGATAGTTATTGTGTTTATATAACTGTTGATCATCTCACACCGAGGTCTTCAACGTCTACTGTAAGTCTACTGTGGTAGTTATTGTGTTTATATAACTGTTGATCACCTCACACCGAGGTCTTCAACGTCTACTGTAAGTCTATTGTGATAGTTATTGTGTTTATATAACTGTTGATCACCTCACACCGAGGTCGTCAACGTCTACTGTAAGTCTACTGTGATAGTTATTGTGTTAATATAACTATTAATCATCTGATATCTCCAATATCAAAATATATTCAACAATATCTGATAGTAATGTTGTATTTTACAGTTGCCCCACAGATTCGCACCCTGACTGTGACAGACCCTTTCCCCTGGCTGGCCAGAGAAGATTACGTTGGCCGTCTGTCCTGTGACACTACAAATGGTAACCCATCTGCTACACGGTACACGTGGTACAGGGACGGCTTTGTGGTCAGTTCTCTGACTTCCCAAGTGATCATGTTTGGACCACCAGTCAGCAGTGATGACGGACGAGTATACAAGTGTAGGGCAGAGAACGCTTTTACTGACATCAAAGGATCAGCTCCAGAGTCCCAGATCACGTTAGAAGTACAATGTAAGTTTAAATATACATTTTATCAACTCATCATCACCAGATAGCAGGCTGTTTAAATCGCCCCTTGTCCATGGACTGCGTCTGCCTCCCTAAAATGTTCTTATTATCGCTTTATAGGTCACATGAGACAAAACGTTTGACACCTTATAAACTTTTGAACTGATTTCACTCAAATATTGCAGAAACCTTTCCTAGCTAAGTCAACCCAATTAAAGCAGCTAGTTTTATTCAAGTACCCCCTCCCCCAGGGGTCTGAGAGGCAGGGCCAAAAAGGGTCAAACGGACTCAAATTTCTAAACTCTTCTTCTCAACACCCAGATATGGTAAATTCAAATGATGTTTATAAATGGAAGTGTCTTAGGTTGCTTTACCAAAGTCCGTGTGGGTCTCACATTCTTTCTTGTGAGGAGGTTAATTTTATACTATATAGAAATTGCAATGGGGACTCACAGTTCACTAAAGAGGGGATTTGAACCTCACGTTACACTTGAGCATGTAATCACAATGGAAAGTCAACGTGGTGGAGTGTAGGATGGGTTCGTCTTTTTCTTCACTTCAACCTGAGGCCTTCCGTCGGCTAAAGTGGAGATTTGTATCAAACAAAGCTCTATAGATGTCTGAATTTGAAAGTGATATGCGTTTAGCAGATTTGTTTGTGATATCTTGATATCGATTATATAAATTCAATAGAAGTGTAGACGGAATAAGAAATTTGCACTCATTGCTCTCCATGCATGTTGAACTGACGCCAAATACTGGCTACGCATAATATTTGATTTACATTATTCAAGGAGGTCCATTATGACTGTCAGTATTAACAATGACTAATAATTTATGCAGATATGGTTTATATTCATGTATGGTGATCAAATAAAAGAAGTTGAAGGGGGTGGGGGTGGGGGATGGGTGCCAAATTTTGACCCTACCTTAGAGCAGATTCTTCAACACCTGAAAGAATGGCTCCCTGGAGTGGAAGAGCAGGGTCCAGGGAAATATAGAAAAGTTGTTAAGATCCTCCTTGTTTTGCTTGAATGACTTTATTCTGTTCCTATTTGGCCTGAAGCATATCTTGCTGTATAAACCAGGAGCCTGACATCTGATATATCTAGTTCTGAATGGTGAAATGTTGTAAGTGACTAAAAATCTTCGTTCCATACAAGAATTGTGTTCTACTTTGGAATGTGGGTCTGAGAGCCAGAAATTGGAATTGTGAGAAATGTTTCTTCTATTTTGAAATGCTTTGGTAGCTGACTTAACAGATAATCAACGTAGGCCCTGTGGGTTTATTGCTTGTTTGAGCATGGTGGCCATTATCCAGGCATCCATTTTGTAATATGATTGTGAAATCATGGTTTTCCTGAACAACACATATTTCAAAGTTCTTCTCACTGACAAGTTTCACCAGTGGAAATCAGATTCAACTTGCTTATATCATTAATGGTCCACCAAGTGTTGATATTTTTGTCAGTCTGAAGTCGAATATGGCCACTATGAATGCCATTGGGAAAAACATATTTTTAAATAGGATTCTTTTTCAGTTCCACTGGTTTCATTTAAATGAAATTTTGCAGTAATGTTGATAAATTTAATTGAAGAGTACTCTGGGTGATTCCGTTGGTTGTGAACTCTGTCGTTGTGATATTGGGACTGATCTGAATTGGACTTTTGAACTATGTTTTTATATGCATTTACGAACACAGTCTCTCTAGTGGTTAACGTCAGACTGGCATGTAAAGGTTCATGAGACATTCAACTTTTAGTTTAACTATCTCTCATTGTATCTATATATCTCCTTTTACAGTCGCCCCTGTGATAACATCTGACTGCGTGGTAAAGGTTAATGAGACAGACAACTACCAGTGTACCTGTACAGCTGTAGGTAAACCAACACCTGTTATTACCTGGTTGCTCCAGAGTTTGTCATCTAACAATGTTTTGAACTTCCCGTCCATCAACAGGAACAAAACCGGGCTGTACACATGTAAAGCCACATCGTCATCATCAAAGTTCGGGACACTACAAACTCAGTCTGTTCTCAACCTCGTGGTACAGTGTGAGTATAACCAATCTGTCCAGAACCTCATAATACAGAGTGAGTATAGCTAATCTGTGGTCATTTTTGCGATAGATTGTGAGTATAACCAGTTTGTCTTGATGCCCTGTTAAAATCATGTCGCATTCATCGAGGAAAATTTGTAAAACGCCAAATGTCTTGTGTAAAGTTGATGAGACTGGAAGTTGAAGTATTGATCTGTATTTCTCAATTTCCTAAAGATCAATACTTTGACTGTGCCTTTCTGTTTCGTTCAGAAGGGCATAGCATAACTGATGTTGGTGTTAGTATAAACGATATTGATATGTCCAGTTAAATATCTTTACTATCTCCGATATGTTGTAAACATATCCTCTCCTTAGACTAACCTTGCACACCAAAAGGACAATGGTTGTAGCTTCTTCCTCCAAATCTTTGATAAGTGTTGGCAACAATTCAGAAACTGGGCTTTCCACGTACCGACGGGTTGCTGACAGGTAGTATCATGAAAATTAAATTTAAAAGGAGTAAACGCATATGGTTAATGACTTGGGTATGGATTTGTATTAATTTATAACCGTATTTTATTGTTATAATAACAGATGCCCCGGATGTCACTTTGCTGGTTCAGAATTCCACTGAAGGTGTTCGGTCATTGGTGATGACATGTAATGCGTCTGGTGTCCCTAACTCGTACACGTTTGGTGACTGGGTACATAAATATGACAACACCCTTATCAGGACGCTTACTGGTGACGAGAAGACCCAAGGGAGAACTCTCACACTAGACACGGTGTCGTATCAGGACATCGGTACCTACACATGTCAGGTACAGAACTCCATCACGGGAAGGAATGGTCAGCTGACACAGACAGGAACAGCTGTCTTTGGTGTTAAAGGTAAATAATGTCTTAACTAACTGAATTTACTAACAGCGCAAACGTAAGTCTATCTGGAAAAAGACTTATAATATTTTGTAGATGAATTGAAATTTGTTGGATATGTAATATCTATAAACGTGCTTTCGTTACGCTTCAATGGTCAGTGCATGCTTTGTTCGAATTTCAAATCATGGTAACACATTCCAAGGAATTTGTCAAACGTACATGCATTTGAAGGCAGTACACTATCCAATGTAGCGGATTTTTTTCTAGAGAATATTTGCTAAAAACATGTCAATATGAGACCTCATATTTCACTTGGCAAATCTGCAGGTCAATATCCACAGTATTAAACTGGCAAAACTGGATCTGCACCCCCTTCCCTTATGAGACTATCAGTTTCAACCCTGATTGACCGATTACAGGTTCAAAGTGTCATTATGAATACAGCGTTAATTGGTACAACAAGGATTTTGTGTATGATTATATCAATTGATCGTTTTCTCTTCCATTAGAATATATGTACTAATACTCAGAACATAATCAATGTCAATGCTAGTCAGTATGTGTATTTTGTTGTTAAGGAAGTCCGATACTCATTGAAGGAGGTTCGATGGATTTCCCCAACAAAGGTCAGCCATATCGGAAATCACTTTTATTCATTAGCCATCCTGCACCAACAGAAATGTTTATCAGTAAGGAGGAACGCTTGGCATCTACACAGAACCTCACGATCACTTTTACCTCAGAAACAGTGTTGGACGCCTTCTACGGGAAAATGATATCACGACCCGGATACAAAGTGAATTTATATTTCCCTTCTTTTCAAATCTACCAGATTGGAGATTACAAGCTGATTGTCATCAATGATGTTTTCCCGGAACTCGTATTTAAATTCTCGTTTAAAATAGTAGGTAAGTGATTGACAAGTATTGTCTAGTTCATCTGGTCTAAAAACAACAATGAAACTACTTCAAAGTAAGGCATCTATTTATTTTTGGTTTCTCCTATCAGTTGTCCGTCTATACGCCAACTAATAATCCGTGTCTCATCTATTTGCTCAAGTTTGCCAACAACAATCTATGACGTCAACATACATGCATACATTGGACGAAAAGACAAAGGCAATATTACCCACTTAACAGAAAAGAATGTGATCGTTCTTCCTAACATTAATCCAATTGATTTTATTTTTTGCAAAAACATCCTAATACATGTACAATTCTAAATTATCTTTGGCAGAGGGACAGTGTTCGACGAGGAAATTGTAGTATAATCGTTTTAGTTCTCCTTTCTATTATTGGAATGAGTAAATATTTTTATAATTTAAATTGTATCTAGCTGAGTGAACTAATTATTCTCGAACGTTGCAAATCGTTAATTGAACTTAATTTAAACTAGAAAAGGGTCAGTGTACAAAGTTGGTGATCTATGCCTCTAACAAGCCAAATATGTACGACTGACCACTTGAAAATAGTCTACATTTATTTACCTATTGTCTACATTATTGACTTCTTAATGCTGGTTGACAAATCATTCAATCAATTCGTTTTTGCAATTCTCATCAAATATAAACAGTTCGTCCTTTTGTAACTGAATAACACTGTTCATAGAAACGTCTAATGAAAAAGGCAGCAGTGGAAATCCTATAATGCAGTTCACAACTTTGCAAATGGATGATCACAACTTTTAATATTATATTTCTATATAGAAGTGAGAGGAATGTACTATCATAATTGAAATAATATCAATACTTCTACATATCATTTCAAATTTAAAACTTCCCACGACATGAACTTCACAATATCTTTTCATGATATATCAAACTAAAAATGTCCATAAGCAATGCTAACAGCAACAATATCCCTCGTATTTAGCATATTATATATAATTCACTTAATTCAATGCTTCCAACCAATATAATATCTTATCTTATATTGCATTCTCGGGATTGAAAACGTATTTATTTTTTATAGCAAAAGTATGTATTTCTATACTTTACATTCACCTGTAAAATTAAAGCAAATAGTAATGTCTCTATATTGTCATTAAAGAAAAATAACTTTATTCCATTCTTGTATTTGATGCACACTTAGTCCATTTAATGATGTATCTCTGACCTAAACCCTGAAAATCAAACCTCAGCTCTATAATCACCACTGTTCTGATATCTGCAAACATTGGAACTCCTATTTGTACCCTAGCAGTAGACCAATTTTAGATGTTTAAGTCCTCTAGAACCTTGCGCAGCATCCCCCCCTGCAAAGCCCCCGAATATATATTTGCTTCTATCTGCATACACAAAAAATACTGCATTCACGTAATCCGAAAAAAAGACACAGTCATTTACAGTTACCGTTTATGCGTACCATGTGCACTTTAAGCTAAAGTGAAGTTCTGTAGATCATGTGACACATACACCGACTGGACACGCATACATGTTCCTTTAGCAAATATCATTCTTTAACGTATCTGACACACTGTGTTGTGACTGATGTTTACAAGTGGACGTACCGGAATAGCACACTTGTATATTAGTTAAGCTCAATGACATATGTTCAAATCCTCAATTGTCAATATGTATACAACTGAATTACAATCAGGTTTGTAAATTAGTTTCCTTGTGTGTCAATATCAAAGCTTATTCTAGGGAAGGCATGGGTAATTCTAATGGCTTAATCTGTGGCTGATTTAAATGCAACGTATAATTAAAAACATATATGATGCTTTTAGTTTCAGATGGAACCAGTTATCCGTATTATAAACAGATGTACACAACATTCGTTGCTTTGATCAGTGTGACTGTGCTCATCTTTTTCATCCATTGGGATCGGAGTATTTATCACGAGTAAGTATATATCATCCACCATCATATGTTAGTAATGAGACAAAAACATATATAAACAGGAATATTGTGATATTAATTTGATGTCAGCATGTATAACAACGTATAACGTAATGTTGTTTGATTTTGTAGGATTTGGACACCTACCCTTTATGTAAGTATACGATAGAATTGGTAATTAAAATCATATCACAGGTGCTTGACACTACTGATAAGTTTATTCCAGTAGTCACACCGTCAACAGTAGACCATGTTATGATTCGTTGGAATAACACAGTTCCGAATCTACACATTGATTTAATCGGTGCATAATGCAAATGTTATGAATTTGTTTTATATTTTGCGTTCTTGAAACGATCCTCACCCCGACGGCATCAATAACGAGTTCATGACCGTCAAAATATGCATGATACTGTATAATCCACAGAGAGAATGTACCTATTTTGAATGTTCTATTTCCAAATAGCGGCATTCCTGCATTTCCAATATGGGGATTCGAGAGACACATGTACATGATAAATAGAAGATGCTTTCATGCATGTACTGTAGAATAAAAAAAAATTTACTTTTCACACGAGATGACCAAATAAATTATAAGTATTTTAAGTATATGCATAAAACGAAGCACAAACTCTTTCTATAATAATAATAATTGAGTCTTAATGTAGTGATTGAAAATTTGACCTACAGCAACGGTTATTGTGTTTACAGAAAATCTGACTGAAAGCAGACTAAATTGAAAAGAAATGCGTCACAAAGTTGGTCATTCTTGTACTTCCCACTTAACATTTCGTTGACACGTTTGAGCATGTCACTATTACGATTTTCTCCAATGTCAATATTGATCTTCTACATCAACAGGAAAGAATGCCGCCATCTTTTGGCTAGCGTCAGAATTCAAGAGTATATCAGGGATAAGATTATGAAAATATTCAATAAAAAGGCGTCACTTAAACATTATTTCAGAATGAAGATTATAGGGAAGTGTTACGGTCGTCTCTTTGAATTACCTAGTGTTTGGCCTTAATCTCACGTATTGTTACAGGTAGTTCGAGTTCCTTCTTACTTTTCGACATTTGTTACAACAATATGGTTATGGCGCTAGTAAGTCATCTCGATTTTGCGTCAAGCGTTAATATCAGTTCTGTGACCTTAGAAATGCATCACTGGCTTTTGAGTGACGAGCTGCTCGAGGCTATGAATACCAGCTTCCTCGGTTTCCTCCCAGTACCACTCGGTCGTTTGCTTTAATAGTCCTCGGTGCGTTGCACTGATCGCCAATAGGATTGGCACGAACTTACAGGAAGAAATTTAAGAAAATATTTTCAGTTACTTTCATTCCAAAAGACTATATCTCCCGAAAGCCAAATAAAAAGTACACAGCTTCTTACTATTTTGTTCAAAGTATTTGTTACAACCCGGATGTTGAATCGAGTTTGTAAAATATCATTGGGTGAAATTACTCAGAGTTTCAAAATGCAGATTGATGAAAATTATGGGGAAGTTTTATAGTCGCTATATTTTGCCTGTTGGTTCCGTTATATACGTCCAGATGTTGGTAAGTTCGCTATTGCTATAGTATCAATCATATTGACCTAGATACTGTTTAATCTTTTCACTTTAGTACAAAAATGTTCGGCAGTGTAATATTTAGAAGTTCAGATTGGAAAAACCGAAAGATAAGGTTGACATATGGACTATATACAATGTACATATAGTTAGGTTTTGACTCGTGTATGATATCTAAAGTTGAAAAACATGTTCTTTGGCATGTTCCAAAATATAACAAACTAAGTTTAAAAATGTTTCTTTCAGCGGAGTAAACAATATCAATTCGGGCATTATTGTAGTGATGATGCGAGACATTAACCTTAAAAATTACTTAGATGTTATCAACAATTCTCAAAACCAATAAAACATAATAAGTTACACTATGTTTGTTGAGGTCATCATCATATCCAACATACTTTAATTTTAATTAATTATGAAATAATATGATGTAAAATATTCTTTTTAACTTGATTGTTTTCAATGAAAAGACGTTCGAGGAAACAACAGACAACAACTAAGCCCTTCGAAAACATAGGAGATTCCGAGCACGGTATGTACATAGAAATGTAATCCTTCCATTTGCTGAAAAAATGTTTTGCATCACACTTCATGAAGACTGTGCTTGTAAATATTGTGATTTTGGCGGGATTGTATCATCATAGTAAAATGTGTTATTTAGTTCAACGTGTTTGATTAATGTAACTTATATCCTTGTCAGCTCTGTCAACTGATGCATCACTTAAAGTTCTCAATTTTTGTTTGTTTACTTATCATACAAAATGTTAATATTCATACGTTTTATTTTGCGTTGAGATTCGCGTCTTAACAATACCACAAATAACATTTTCATTACTGTATATAAAATAAGAACACCAAATAGAAAGTAATACTATCACCTTTTTCAGCATTTCTGTAAATATACTCTCACTTTATTTTTGATGTTCAAATTAGATCCAATGATAATATAGATACTGTCATTTTACAGTGTAATAAAGTCTTTGCTTTCGTTTACTTAACAGTCTCAGCGACAACACCACCAAGGCCGGGAAGGTATTAGTAGCAACTGCTATTTCCTGATCCATTAAAGCTGTTTTTTTTCAACATAACTTAAAGTATAGTGCGGTGGCTGATTTGTGCCATTTCGTTATTTCGTTTTTCGTCACGACACAAATAAGTCAACTTTGTTTTGTCAATTTGATTTCTTTATCTAAATAAAAATCATAGAAGCTAACTTAAAGTGTCAAGTGTTGAAATGATGATACTTGATGTTGCCTTCTATATTTACAAAGTTATTAATTGTAATTGTCGAGAGTCCGGTATGTTTTTCCGAGACCATAAGTCAGATAGATCATTTGTCTTTGCCAAACGGACATTGCCAAGTTAATTCAGTATTCAGATCCTTTGGATTACCTCTTGTAGCCATTATTATATAAAATCTTTACTTGAAAAAGTCTAGAACCTCAGTCATGATGTGTTCTTATTTGTGTCAGACCGCAAGCTCTATTTTTCCTGAAAACACTGCTTAGTCAATTCATGTAAAATTTCTTTGATCATATTCTAAATGGTCAAAGTTCACGGTACCTAAAGCGATTAACACTGCGAGCGAGTGGCCTTTTTTGCCATGTCATGTCATCATAACAATGGTTAATTGTTTAATTGTAAAATCATCAAACATGGCAAGTATGACATATGATTGATATTTCAAAAATATGTATGAGACGTATTGCATAAAGATATTGTATTAGTAATGGATTATTATTTCAGAGGTTCGTATGAAGAGTTGGATATAACAAACATTGCACCACCAAACATGTACGAACAAGTCGGACAAGAACATGGTATGATCTTTATATTTATGTTCCACTACTTTTCATGTTTGAATAATTATCATTTTAGTTTTGATCAATGTTCATGGAAATAATTCTCAATAATGTCTACAAAATCTTAAAGATAACCATTAATTAATTAAATGAAATGAACAAAAAAGTGAAATGTAGCTATAACAAGGAAGTAAATTATGAATTTTGAATGTGCATTTTTATAATGTATGGCATTAAACTTACAAAAATGAAATCAGTACAAAACATAAATATTTCTTACGGATTTAGGTGTCTCCGAGAACATAGAAGTAAGGTAAGATATGCTATATTTAAATAATACGATTGTTTAGTGTGTATTTCCTAAAACATGAACATTAGTTTTTAACTAACAGTAAATGGTGTGCACAAAAATATCGTAAATTGATTTTAGAATATGTCCGTGTATGCTAGATCTTTTTTTAAATAAACAGATTGATTTAAATATATAGGTTGTCTACTTTTGAAATGACATTGAATATCTATTTAAAAATGATTTATTGTATGGAATTTTGTTTTAAGCAACTATGAGATGTTGGAAGGTGTAAATGGTCCAAATGTCTATGAGGAACTGAAGGATCGGAAAGGTAAAAACTAATGACTTTAGATATCAAAGAATCTTTTCGATCTTTCTGTGGTTGATTATTACCAATATATCGAGTGATGTATGAATGTATATAATTGCTAAACTGTCCATTTGTACTTACAGTTGTGATGTGATCATTACTTCATTTAAATCTTACGTGATGTTATCTATATTTTCTGAAGTTATATATTGCAGTAGAGAAGAATTATCTTTGAAATACTGTAGGCAAAACTTCCCATATTGAAAAGTCAGGTGCATATCGAAGCGTAGTTCTGCCATCAGTCGATAACATCAAGCTACTATAAATACCTTGGTCAAAGTTAATGAGTCAATGTCAAAATATAGAATGGTCTTATAGTATGCTGTATCACACTGGTAGGAGTAAGGATATCTGCTTTAATTATAGATCTTATGTCATTTATCATTTACAACAAGATCTTACATAATGATTTGAGTGAAAAAAAGTTTTAGGCAAATATGAATAGAAACAACAAAGAAAAAACGGACAGTACGACAGGATCTTCAAACTCAAATTCGACGATCTAGGGCAAAATAGGAACGAAAGAAAGCTCTGCATCGAGAATCCTAAAACGTCGAAGAAGAATAAGACCATTAGCTTTGGTAGAGCATGCGTTTTCTGCTTCATGGGAAACACCCTGCTATGCATTTATTAATCTATCCAATTAATAATGTGACGCTCCCAAAAACGAACAAAATAAACAGCAACAGGACCACTATCTAGTTCTTCTGACTTCGCATTGCACAAGGAAACAGAATATTTCCCAGTTGTGGTGTTTTCGACAAACGTGAAATATTAAGAAAGGAAAGAAAATCTGTGGATACAGTATCTGAATATTTTCAAGAATTACTCGGACTTGGGAGATCAGTGACTACCTTCTTCCATATTTGGTTCGTTTTTATTCACCGTTCATATAAATACACGAGAGATAAAACATGTGTGTAAAATGACTTTTTATGAATTAGAAGATGAAATAATCTATGAACTTATTCTGAATTTTTCCATTTTTTCTCATTTTTGTTTTTTTATTTAGGTTCCAGATAATCACATCTTTACACCAACACAACACTAAATTAAGACATTCTGGCGAGGTCCTGACTTCAAAGCGCATATCCTGTGGTCAGGCACCTCTCTTGAAAATGTTTCATTTATGTAATACCAGATGAATACCAGTCTACAATTTGTTTGAGGCAGTGTGATGTCCATGAAGACGAGATGACGGCAGACATCAATATAAAAATATTGTTTGTATACGTAAATATCGTTTTGGGATTTTGAACTTCTTTAGGAGACATATGTCAACTTAATCAAGCCATTATTTACATGTTTGCCATGCTCTCATTGATGATAATATACAACATACCTCCTTAATAAGGGGCACACACAATGGCATAATTGGTTTTTTTTTGTTTTACGTGTACACTGAATATCATTTCGTAAAACTACGAAACACAGGTGTTCTCAACATTACAGATAAGATACAGTCTAAAACTTTGATCTTATTGAACAAACATTATCAAGGTCACGAAGAGCATCATTACAAAACAATGACTCTACGTAGATCACCTCTGTTGATATTCAGGATACAAGATTAAAAAAATTAAAATTTTGATAAAAATGAGAAATAAATATCAGTGACGTTCGAAGGTATTTTTTATCCAAATTAGGATTTTTCAAGTAGTGGAACCCGCTCAATATCCTGTATTATTTGTGAGAAAGAAATGATTATATCAACCAGAACGTACTATTAATAATGGTGCACCTACAGAGCTTTTGTGTCTTCAGTGTTTTGTTCTCTGAATGAAAAACTGTGGTTACGAGATCAAAAAAAGCCTAGTTTGCTCTTCGCCCTATGATTTTATTTAATTCTATTCATCCAAGCTTATTTGATTGTTGTAGATATATATTTCTTCATCGGAATGGATTATTAAGACGCTTCATAATTTACAACTACATGACATAATTTAATTCTGCTATACTTACGACAAAATATATGTTCTTCATGTCTGAGGAAAATGTATAACTAATACAGTATTTCGCCCCCTAAGAGCGTGGTAGACAATTTCTACCCTGTGTTTGTAACTTAACAAAATTCCTGAGTGTTCGAATCCACCTACCTCGCCAACAAATTTGTCGAATGATTAGTATATTTTGTTCTGCTGGCCTTCTTATATATGGTGTTTTGAAATGTAGACGTGACGTCATAAATATTAATGGGGAATCTCCTTGTCTCAACCCTACGTCGAGGCAAGGAAATCTCACACTACTAAACGTTTGGATATACCAGCCAGAATATCGAATAAAGGATCTTGCATGAAATACAATGAGATAAGGAACATGGTAAACTTGGTCAATATCTAATAATTCTGAAGCATTCGTCGGTGATCAGACTCAATTTTTGTTTAACGGTGGGTATTGGCCTCCTTGGGCGATCGGGATGGGCCCAATGTGAGAAATGGGACAATTCTTTAAAAACTGACTCCTCATATATTAATGGTTGATTCTGTCCAAATTTGGTCTGACTCATTGTTGTTTGAATGTGAATCAAGTTTGTATAAACGGTGGGTCTCGCCCCTCGGACTTCGGTAGAAATAATCTGGTTTCGCTCAACTTTCCTCTAAAGCATTGTTGGGTAAGTCAATGGATCTCGGCCCTCTGGCTCGGAGTCAAATTGGGAAAATAGAAGAACAGATTGTTTAAAAACCTAATCCTTCTGTATGAAAGGTTGGAATTTGCCCAAATTTCGTCTGAAACATCGTATGGTGAAGCGGAATCATTTTTACTAGGCCAGCGATACAGGCCCTATATGACTCTTGTCCTTTTTCTTATTACAAAACATGATATGATACATTATAACAGTAATGATTTCTAACAAACCGCAATACTCAGAAAGTAATTTCAGATACTCGAGGTATAATATTTGTATCAATTATATCCTAGATAATTAAATTGCAAAGTCAAATATGCATAAGTAGAGCATACATCCAGGGAATCTATATCAATTGTCTGTACATTCTTGGCAATGACGGTTACATATAAGGATTAATCGTGTTTAGGACTTCTGTTAGAGACTACCAGAAATGTATAACTAGTGTATTATGATGTTGTTGTCATACCGTAAACCAGAAACCACCGATTTCAGCTATACTGGTTGTACAGGTGATATTGAAGACATACTCATTAGATACAATGTTCTGCTATACTTATTATAATTGTTATGATGAAAGCATGCACAATATTTCATAAAGTTGTAAATAGGAAGACATTATTATTAAAACTGATTACTCATAAAAGTGTATTTATCATTTTCGTCACATTCAGTTTTATGTATAACAGAATACTGAAAATACGTCTTTAAAGAATTTATTGTAAACATGTGTTCATACACGTCATTAAATCTGCAAATTTTCACAAAACTTGGTGCATAGTGCATTTATTCATGAAGGCTTGTGGTGATGTATCTTACATTTCTTTTTCTGTATGAAGCTTCGTTATATCGTAAAGAAATTTTGTTTAACTACAATTTAAAATACTTCTCGTTTCTCTCACCACAAAAGGTTGACCAGAATGTAGTCATGTAAAAAAAATATGCTAAAACTCGGTAATCAAGGGAATTAGCTTTTTACACAAGGGGTTGAGTCTCAGATTAAATATGTATCATCTTGTCCATTTTTAACGTCATACAAACTAATTACATACCCTAGAACTCGCATTGTGTTTCCCTATTGACTAATTGGTGTTTATATTTACACGCTGCTGAATGTATCGTTATAGATATCCTCTCTCTTTGATTCATCATCAATAAGTTAGTCCCCGAGGTTTTCCGTAACCTGAATGCCAAGGTTAAAATCATCTAAAAAGTACCGGAACTTGCTGTTGTTCTTAAATGACAAGATAAATGAAAATTACCACATTTATTGTATTATGGGTCTAGAACACCATCCAGCCTAGATTTTGATCTTTTGGGTTTTCCTAGCCTCTAAGGTGAGGCCCTTGACATCACTGACGAGTCCTAGAAGGACAAACAACTGCTTGATGTAGTTTGGTTGTTTGGTTCCTTGTTTGCTGTATCCTACTCTTAAGTTAAAGGGTGCTATTCACTTACGTGTTTTTGTACAGTTGTGGATCGCGGACAAATAACCGATGTACGCACAATATATGAACGATAGAAAACTGCAATCGCACATATGTGCGTACGTTGTGCGGTTATATCGCACGGACGTGCGACTCTGTCGTGGCTGATATTCAGTTTCATGAATGTGGGATGTTTTTCATTTTCATAATTATGTCATAGATCTGTAGGTCCGACATATATACCTCTTTGCGGTACAGATTGAATAGATGTAAACACTCTCAATTTAGAATGTGTGGGTTACAAATTGAAGCACGTGAGCAGAGAAAAGTCACACATTACATACACATTAAATGGACGTCTCGTTTTGGTTCGGAAATGAATCATCTAAACTGTCACATTGTCAGAAATGAAATTCCTTTTTCATTTCATCTGAATTACTTCATATTTCAGTTTCAAATATAAAAATGTTCAGCAAAATATGAACAAAAATGGATAATAGATTAAACATTTCATTGACACTCATCAATAACTACACGAAGAATACGAATAGTTGTTTCGGAATAATAAGCGTCTTCTGCTTCTCTGTTTTATCGACGAAGTCAACCAAACTTTCTTTCCATTGACTTAATGTTAACAGAAACGTGACATAAAACTCAAATGCGACTCAACATGACAGACATTGGTATAAAAAGTACAAATTGCAGGGTTACATAACAAGTCCACAAACAAAAGTAAAAAAAAGTATCTGACTTTAATAAAACAAAACAAAAAAAGTTTTCCAAATATATTTTTTTTCGTTCAAATGTATTCCTGAGTTGTATTTCTTTCGTCCAAATACATTTTAAAATGTATTTATGAAATGCATTGTTTTCGTCCAAATGTATTTCTTTAGCCATGATATAT